CGGCTTTTTTCTTTTTGCTTATGTGGTGCTGAGGAATCGAACCCAGGGCCTCATGCATGCAAAGCAAGCACTCTACCACTGAGCCACCTTCCCAGTCCCTCCATTCTTTTTTTGTCTGTCCTAAGACTTGAACTCAGGGCCTGAGCACTGTCCCTGAGCTTCTTTTTTGCTAAAGGCTACTCTACAATATGAGCCACAGCGCCACTTCTGACTCTTTCGGTTTATGCGGTACTGAGGAATGGAACCCAGGGCTTCATGCATGCTAGGCAAGCACTCTACCACTAAACCACATTCCCAACCCCCCATTCTTTTTTGTCAGTCATCTTGAACTCAGAGCCTGGGCTCTCTCTGTCCCTGAGCTTTTGTGCTCAAGGCTATCACAGTACCACTTTGAGCCACAGCTCCACTTATAGCTTTTTGCTGGTTAATTGGAGATAGTCTCAAGGACTTTCCTGCCCAGACTGGCTTCAAACTGAGATCCTCAGATCTCAGCCTCCTGAATAGCTAGGATTAAAAGTATGAGCCACCAGCACCTGGCCAGATTTGTGTTTTTTAATCCAATCATTCTTAATGAGGGATATTATATATAGTTAGCCCATTTTTTAAAAAAGAAACATATTCTATCTCTATCTTCTACTTGGGCTCTAAAAACCATTTCTATGTAATACAATTTAAAATAAATAAGGTAGAATATGTTTGTTGTTGTTATGCTTTTGGGTTTTCATATGTCATTTAACTTTGTTCTCTTCCTTGATTTTTGCCTTCCTTTCTATATATTTTTTATATTTTCTACTATGAGTTTTAATTTCTTTGTTTTATTTATTTTGATTTTTTGGTTATTTTGGTAGTCATGGGTATTATAATTAAAAATTATATATATATATATATATATATTTTTTTTTTTTAGGATTTGAACTCGGTATTAGGGTTTTAACTCAGAATGTTACACTTATTATTCAGGTGGTCTACCATTTGGACAAGCCCAGCACTTATTTTACTTTAGTTATACTTTAGATAGGGTCACATTTGCCTAGGGGTGGCCTTTGACTAC